TGCCCCAGTGTGCCCCTCCTTGATATCCCGCAAACCACCACCAGGGTTCCGACACATAACACACTTTTTTCAGGAAAGTAAACCTCCAGGGGTCCTTTCCATATTTTTACAGAGACTGCATAAGGACCGTTAGAAAAGCATTACCCATTGATTATTAAGCTTGGACCAGTGGGGTCCGGTGTTCCGGCCCCACCACGTAAAACCAGTCCCCATGACGTGAGCGGAATCTCAGGTTATGGAACCCACCAGGAGTTGAAAACAAGTGCGCACTTTCTCTCTCATACACACACACACATTTTCTCTCGTACAAACACACACACGCACTTTCTCTCTAATACAGACACACTTTCTCTCTCGTACACACACACACACACACACACACAACGCCATGAAAGTTTGCATGAAAAGTGTTAATTAAAAAAACATTTCATTTATGGATTGAGTCTAAAGTTTGTTCTTCTCACGTTTGTGGTTTGGTTTGTTTTGGTGTGTTTCTGTTTGTGTCTTTTCAAAAATAACATCAATGAAAGAAGTTTCTCAGGAAGTGGAAAGAAATTTGTATCTTGGGGTTTTCGTGTAAGTTTGAAAAGAGAGAGACCAGAGAGAGCAGCGAGAGATAACAGAGAGAGACCAGAAAGAGACCACTGAGAGGGAGACCATAGAGAGAGAGAGCAGAGAGAGAGCAGAGAGAAAGAGAGACCAGAAAGAGAGAGCAGAGAGAGATTAGAGGGAGCAGAGAGAAAGGGAGACCAGAAAGAGAGAGCAGAGAGAGATTAGAGAGAGCAGAGAGAAAGGGAGACCAGAAAGAGAGACCAGAGAGAGAGCAGAGAGAGAGCAGAGAGAAAGATAGACCAGAGAGAGAGCAGAGAGAGAGCAGAGAGAAAGGGAGACCAGAAAGAGAGACCAGAGAGAGAGCAGAGAGAGATTAGAGAGAGCAGAGAGAAAGGGAGACCAGAAAGAGAGACCAGAGAAAGAGCAGAGAGAGAGAGCAGAGAGAAAGGGAGACCAGAAAGAGAGACCAGAGAGAGAGCAGAGAGAGAGCAGAGAGAGAGTAGAGAGAGAGAGAGACGCTGTCAGTGGAACCAGAGCCGGGACAGGGGGTAGCAGAGCTGGAGCCGGGACTGGAGCAAAACGGGTACGAAAACCGGAAGGGCCCCTGGATGGAAAATAATATTCAGCGGAGCCAGGTCAGGGACAAAAGCAACCACCCAGGACAGAGCAAAGTGTCCTGCAGTGGTCCAGGACAAAGAGAGGTCCGCGTCCAGCTCCTGCAAAAACTCTGAAGACCAGTTCAAAGAAAACAGAGGGTTATAAAGGGGTTGAAAATGAATTAATGAAAGTACAAATGAAAATCCAGTGATAAAAACAAAAAGTAACCGAAGACGGACTGACGACAGGTACTAACACAGACAAGGAATGACAACGACGGAACAGTGAAGGAACGGTTGGCGCTAGAGTTGTTGTCCAGTGGTTGTATTTCAGAACTGCCCCCCAGCACGTCGGCTTTGAATCCCTGTTTAACCGAGTAAAAAAGTCTTTCAATTCTCGAGTGCACAGTGAACATCGCACAGCTTTAACTCATTGGCTGCATTCTATGTTTAGATTTCTATATCATTATTTTATATAGACAGATTTCTGAGATAAATATTTAGGATGGTGACTGATTAAGTTTTAGGTGTCTGAGTAAGACGGTTAAGGTTAGGGCTAAGGGTGGGTTGGGGTTATTCTATGGGAGTGCCTTGTTCAGTTTAGGTAGTAGCTTATATTTACTTCCGCTTCCGTTCCGATTCTGTCTATGATCTAGTGCCGATGCTAAAATACAAGACTAACAAGACACAGGTGAGACACATGAGGCAGCGCAGGTTATAAGTCAACAAGAAGTATAACTAAACCAAGACGGATTTAAACAAATTAAAAAATAAAACAGGAATTAAACCTAATCCATGACAAACTTTGTCAGTTGCCTTTGGCTGTAAATGCCATCCATCGTATGTCACGGGTCCCTCTTTTTCTCATCTCAGCCATAACCAAACTTTGTACTTGTCATTTCCATCATGTTAATGTCAGCAGAGATACAAACGTAGCGTGCAAGAAAACATAATTTATTTGGAAAAAGTACTGAATGCTGTTTCTCGAAGCCTAAAGTCTCGAAGCCTAAAGTCCTGATGTTATAGTAGCTCTTTGACCGCCAGCCATTTTTTATGATTTCACTCATTTTCAAGACTCACAGAATATTGTGTGCTATGACCATGAGAAATATGAACCCAGATTCTGAAAGACAAGAATGTCTGCTTTCAGCAGCAAAAACAAGTTTGTTTTTAGCTTGTTTCGTTTTCCTGTGATCTCCAGTCGAAAAGAGGGGAGTGTGACAAAAAGCATGAGTCTTAGATAAAAAGCTTGTGTTTGTGAAAACAGACGCAGAAAAGTGACTGTAACACTATTTAGTTCAACTTCAGCGTCTCCTCAAACATTTCCAGGATCTTACGTGTTAGAAAACAGCAAGAACAAGTAATTAGAAAGTGTTTTTGGTGCAAAATAATATGTTTTATGGCACACGCCCACATCCACAAAGTGTTACTTGAATATTTTAAAAAAGTACTCATTCAAAAAACCTCAGAATTCACATGACAAACTATGCTAGAAAGAATGGCCAGCATTCATCCAGTAGGTGGCGCTATATTTATGTCAACAACATTCAATCACAGAATAACAAAAATACAACAATAAACACTATAAATCAAAGTGAAAGTCAATAAACGTATACTATAAGTGCATTAGAAAACTGTTGTGTGTCTTCTGTGTTTGTTTTATTTATTTTAAGTTTATTTGAATAGGGACAAGTATGTCACATAAGCTCATGTTACATACTACAACATTTTAGCCAAAGCTAATTCTCAATGTCCGTCCCTAGTTGGGCCTTTACATAAAAATTAAACAATACATGGTTAAAACATAATTAAAACACATATCATAATACAGTACAACACAAACACAACAGAGCAGACGGTCAGTGGTCACATTTCTGACCTCTGATTAAAGAGTCTTTAAGTTCGTGTTTGAAAGGGACCCAGTTTGACTCTCCCTTCAGGTCAGTGGGTAACCAGTTCCAGGCTTTAGTGCCTTGTACGGAAAAAGCTGATTGTCCAAATGAAGTATTTCGTTTCGGGATCTGACAGTTCCCGTTCTGAGCTCCTCTAGTCCTTGAGCCCACAGCCCTGAGAGGAACTATACACTCACTCAAGACCTGTGGGGCTTGCTGGTTCAAACATTTGTGCATCAGCTTCAGCTGGGAAAATTTAATAAAGTTTTCAAAAGATAAAATGTTTAAATTCCTCAGACTGATACAATGATGTGACCTAATGGGCTTCCTGTCTAGGATTTTAACCGCTCTGTTATAAATCATTTGTAGTGGCATGACTGTAGTGGCAGTGGCCTGTGACCATGAGCAGATGTAGTAACTTATATGCGAGAAGATCATGGCGTGCATGAAAGTGTGAGCAGCATGAAACGGTAGGTAGTCCCTGATCAGTCTGAATGTGTAAAGATTTGCTTTGGTCACTCGACAGATTTTTTTGATATGACTGTCAAATTTAAGTTGTGAGTCAAGTACAAGGCCCAGGTATTTGACCTCTGAAACCTGCTTGATCTTGAAACCATTTATCTGTAAATTTAGTTCTTCGGATATGGACTTGAATCTTGAGGCAAAGCAAACAGACATGGTTTTTAAAATTCAATGACAAACCTGCGTTTTGAAACCACACCGCCACAGTTTGCAGATGTTTTGCCAGTTCCTCAGAAACTGCATGCACACTTTTCCCTGGCACATAAACCACTGCATCGTCAGCGTACATCTGGAATCCTGCTGTAGGACAAGAGTCTGGCAAATCGTTAATGTACAATGTGAAGAGCAAGGGCCCAAGAATGGACCCCTGCGGTACACCTGTGTTCATTTTAAAAATGTAGACATTTGATTATTGACCACCACACACTGATCTCTCTGTTCAAGATATGATTTGAACCACTGCAAAGTTAATTTTGTAAAGTTGAAATTGGACAGTTTATGGATGAGGATATCATGATTTCTTTGATTGTATAAAAGCCATAAGCTGACTGTACACATTTTTTTCTAGCACCTTTGAGAATACAGGCAAGATACTTACAGGTCGATAATTGCATGCCTGGTCGCGCATGTATGTGTGTTTATACACGCGTGTGTGTTTGTCTGGTTACATCTACAAAGTGTGACGATAACCAGACTTTGCTGCTGGCTCCTGGTGCAGGCTCAGTGATAGTATTAGCGATAGTACACTTTTCTGTGGCTTTTTTGGGTTGCTCCGCTGGTCTGCTGCTCTGACCCTCCACATGGTCTGCGGCCCTGACCCTCCACATGGTCTGCGGCCCTGACCCTCCACATGGTCTGCGTCCCTGACCCTCCACATGGTCTGCGGCCCTGACCCTCCACATGGTCTGCGTCCCTGACCCTCCACATGGTCTGCGGCCCTGACCCTCCACATGGTCTGCGGCCCTGACCCTCCACATGGTCTGCGGCCCTGACCCTCCACATGGTCTGCGGCCCTGACCCGCCACATGGTCTCTGTCTGCTCTAGAGACATATTTACTGCTCAAACTGCCTCTAAATGAAGCCTGTCCCTGACTGTATTCCTCCTGCCTCCATCGGCTCTGTCTCTCCTGCTCACGGGGCTCAGACAGTGATCTTTGACCAAGACACCCATAGAGCTCTGCTGCCACCTGCTGGCTTAATAAAATAATGTCTACAGCCAAACCCCAGACATTTATAATACAGGGGACACAGACGAAGATGAATTATTTACAGGATTTATTTTTCAATTGACTGATTAATGGCATTCAAGTAGGAACACTGTAAAGTTTGGGAGAATAAAGCATTTTGAAGCAGACTGTTATATATTCAAGCACATTCCAGACCTTAAAAACCCGTCATTGAAACATTTTCCCGACTTTCAAGGATTTGTGCCAACCCCTCACAAATCATCGAGTCTTCTCTCACAGATGAACTGATGTGCAACACCACAATTTTCGTCGTTCCACCTTCCCAGCTGACCCTTATAGTTAATTTCAACACAGTCTTCTCCAGTTCCGGTATCGTTTGGCTCGCCACTCATCCAGAAGCTTAAATACAGAGAATGAAATTGTTATTTATACTGAAGTACTTTGGTTTTATTCATAAAAGTCTGAGTGAACCTCGTAGTGAGCTTTGTGCCGTCCACCCATCTCCAGACTCCTTCCTCCTGCAGGTCACTCAGACCAATCCACCTGCGATCTTTATATATAGAGCTTATGAAGTCCTGTTAAACAGAAGAAGCCGTCAGACATGATCTATCCCTGTATGCAGTCGGGCCATAGCTCCAGACCTTCTCCTGGACACTGGTGATGATGACCAGGTCGGCTCCTTGATCCTGACAGAACTGTCTGCTCTCAGACCAGTTTCTCTCTGTGGTGGAGCCCAGGTACACACTCTCACTGAAATAAATCCAACCTCTGGACAAGTAACGATCTGAAAGAGAGAAAATTATACATATTTTTTTTTCTGATGAACGCCATGCAATTATTTACTTTACACACACACGTGGTGGCACCTGGTGTTACCAGAGGTCTCCCATCACAGTACTAACCAGGCCCTGCCCTGCTATGTTTGTGAGTGTTGATGAGATCTGGCTTTCACCTGCAGGTGGCGCTGCAATAGACATTCACTGCTGTTTGTGGCAAAAGTCTAAACCATGTATATTTATGTAAACAACTGTTTATTGTGAAAAGAAAAGAGAGAGGAAGAGAAGAGGCGACCTGTTGTTGAGACGAGCTCTGCTACATCTTAAATGTACTCCCATCCTCAGTTACAGTTACTACAGCAGCAGGATTACCTATGCTCTGGAGTCTTTGCTTCTGTCGGTCCCTTTCCTCAGTCAGTTCACGTTTTGTGGTTTCAAAGGCTGCAAAGATATGTTTAGTGCCATGAATAATCATTTTCACACTGTATTGAAGAAAGTCCATTGTTCACTGTCACATGTTGGAATGTTCTCTTTTCTATCAAAGGTTTCTGACAGGATTGTGTTCTATGAGACATGGAAGATTATGGAACAATGAGGTGAATGAGGTCTAACAATGGTTTATGAACAACTGTCAACATTTATAGATGTTGGTCTCTGCGCCTCATGGACCAATGGTTCTATGTGTTTTTATCATGTTCTTATGTTTGATTCTCTGATCTGTGTTGGAGAATCGACAGCTTTGTAAAGTCTGAGATAACTACTGTTGTGGTTTAGGGCGATACAAAAATACAGTGAATTGAATATTTGTCTGTTCTGTCTTCTCTTCCAGATGTCACTTACACGAGATCTTTTCCTCCAGTTCACGGATTTTGAGGAACAGAGATCTCTGACACGTGTTGAGGGCTGAAAAACACCACATGTGTATTTATACTGTATTCATGTGATCACATGTGTATTTATACTGTATTCACGTGATCACATGTGTATTTATACTGTATTCATGTGATCACATGTGTATTTATACTGTATTCATGTGATCACATGTGTATTTATACTGTATTCATATGATCACATGTGTATTTATACTGTATTCATGTGATCACATGAGTATTTATTAGGGCTGTCAAACGATTAAAAGGTTTTAGTTGATTAATCGCACGGAAATGGTCAGTTAATTCACTATTAATCGCATTTTCAACATTCTATTCCAAATCCACTCCAATTGAAGTTAAATGAGATTATCAAATATAATGACACATTGTCATTAATACCAAATGTACTTAAGTCTGTTAGATTTGCTCACAACCTTTTGCTTTTGGGCACAACCAAAATGAGCTGTTAATGAAAGGGGGAAATTTACATTCCCCAGCTTTAAATCAGCGAATTTAGTTTAGTTTCAGGAAAAGACAGGGACACTTTTGCGGTGTATTTGCGTGGATAGGTTACGCACAGGTTGCAAAGACACGAACACAACATGCATACAATATTTCTGTGGCGTGTTTGGTCTTGTATGGCCATGTTACCGCAGCGCCATTCACTCACAGCCGTGTTGTTAGCGGCTCACAACCAGACCGGCCGCGGAGGAGGCGGACTTCAGTTCACTGCAACAGCCCTGCGGTCACAGGCGTATTCTTTTAAATCATGAAATCCTAGAGGGCCTACCTGCTCTGATGCTATCTCACACCAGCATTCTGAGTGTTATTATGGATAAATGGGCGGGTCAGTCGGACATGCGTTAATGCGTTTGTTTTTTTTTTGTACGCGTTAATGAAAAATGTAATTAACGTGAGTTAAAGCGATAATTTTGACAGCCCTAGTATTTATACTGTATTCATGTGATCACATGTGTATTTATACTTTTTAGGATTCTTCAGAATGAACAGACTGTGACGGGCAGACCAACTCGACAGAACACCGGAACGCAGCAGATGAGTTGTTCTGGCGAGTCCAAAAGGGTGGGGTTAGGAAGTGTTGGGGGGTAACAGAATGGATTCAGAATACTCTTTTTGAGTAACTGTACTCCATTACAGTTACTTAGTGATGGACATATAAAGCCCCCGTAACCGTAGAGTAAATATTAACACACTGAGGCTTTCCTTCCCAGACTGGTTGAAATGTGTCAAAGCCTCTGAGCTCAAACTAACTTAACACTGACCTCTAGTGGACAAATGTCAACACTGCAGCTTCTGAACAGCAGTAGTTAATTCCATTGAATAGACTTAATTCACGTTCCAAATAGGGATTCAAATAATACCATTTCATCTTCTCACATAACTATGACAAAAGAGCGATCCTTGTCAAGAGGAAGCCTTCCTCCTCAACCTGTCAATCAGACTGACCACGCATACTCAGAAAGTGACATCATCTGACCACGCCCACCCAGGGAGTGACATCAGGTGAATGGTGACAGGTCACTGAGGCGGTGACAGTATAAAGTCAAAAAAAACTAAAGGAACATTCTTACACATGTTTATTTATCTTAAGTTACGCACAATCAGAACTTCTCTTTATCTCATCTTGATTTTTCAACAGGTCTTTGCGACTGGTTTCAAGAACTAGAAATAAAAATGGTGAAATAAGGTGTTGGTTGCGTTTCTTGGAGTATGTACTTGACAGGGCCAGTGAGAAAGCAACATTTGAAGATGTCAGCAAAGAAAAGAAAGCTTTGGAGGAAATGAGTTTTCCAAATTCAATTTAATTTTATGTATTGTTTCACAACTGTTGTTCTAAAGTGATTTGTCAAATGTTCGTGTATAGAATACTATTTACGTTTGCCAAGGTCTTCCTTCTCTGTGGTCACATTGGTGCAATCGCTCGTGTTGATCTTGTTTGAAGGGAAGTCTAGGGAATGAAAATAATGACACAAGTCACTGCTGTTAAACTTGGTCTGGACTTGATATGAATCCACTCACAGAGACGCAGGAAGACGTTGAGAGACGCTTGTGTGATGAACAGAAGTCCCAGACTGATGCCAACCACTGCAGTCAATCCCCCTTCAAACAAAAGGCTGTGTCAACAATCTGTTCCAGATTTTAGCTGTATCCATGCTCACACACACTGCCCAAGGATTGTCATGAGTTCTAGCCGGAGGTTGGTTCATACGGGGCTAACATGTTACTTTGGTGCGAGACCTTGGAGAGACCTGAGACCAGGACCAGCAGGAGAGGACTTCTAATTCTGATCAGGACCGTTTTTAAAGTTTTGGAGGAACACAGGGACAGGCCTCCTGCTGGTCCCAGAGTCAGGACTAAACATGGGGAGACAGCGTTTCCGGTTCAAATGTGAGACAGGCTTCTTCTCTGACAATGTTCAAATCCAGGTTATGATAGTTCTGTTTAGCTCCAACTGAGGTAATGTGGTCCCTTTTTTATCGTACGTTGTAGCTCCCAGGATGGAGCCTCTGCTGCACTATGCCAGCCGCGAGTGGGATCACAGTACATCCGGCTGCACCATGCCTCTCCTTCTCTGCGGGAGAGGAGACGCACACCAGCCTACCTCAGTCCCACTACGTGCTCCCCTCCCTGTGCCGCGATGAGCGGTCACGCGGGGCAGCGGCCTTTCCAGAGCAATGAGTGGTTATGCTCTGCCGTGTTGGGGAGAGGGGGCTCGGCTCCAAGTAAGGGCAGCGTAGCTTCCCTCACGCAGCCACCCAGTAAAAGGCCCAGGGCCTTTTTTTTCCGTATGGGAACAGATGGGGCTTCTGGGAACACAGTGGTTACACAGAGTGCTGAGTCGGGGCTACGCTCTCCTGTTCTCCCGGCGGCCCCCTCCTTTCCGCGGCATTCCCCAGACAAGGCTGCGCAACACGGTGGACGTTGCAGTGGTACACAGGGAGGTCAACGCGCTTCTGCAGCGTGGCGTGGTAGTGGAGGTAGACCCGCTCAGGACTGGGACAAGGTTTTACTCTCCATACTTCATAGTCCCCAAAAAGAGCAGGGGGGGGGGGGGGGGGGGCATTGAGACCCGCACATCCTCAATGGATGCATAGCCACGCAACCGTTTCGCATGCTCAGTCAGACAGCTACTGCTGTGCATGACCTCAGGGACGCATATTTCCACATACCCATTGTTCCGGAGCACAGGAAGTTCCTCCGGTTTTCTGTGGGGAGGGGCTTCGATTATCGCCGTCTCCCATTCGGCTACTCCTTAGCCCTCCGCACCTTCTTCAAGTGCGTGGAGGCGTCACTAGAACCCCTTTGGCGTCAAGGCCTAGGCCAAGGATACTGACGTATATCGACGACTGGCTGATCCTGGCTTCCTCTTGGGCAGGCTCACACGTCCAGAGTGTTGAACCATGTTGCCCACTTACGGTTTGTGATAAATATAGACAAAAGCTCCTTGTGCCCTGTCCAGGAGATCTCGTATCTGGGACTAGTCTTTGATTCCAGGAGCGGTGGTTCAGAACCTGGGCCGGAGCGTCCTCGGTTCCAACTGTGGCAGATTCGGTCACCCTTGGACTTGATGGCAGAAGCCCACCCAGTGGTGAGACTGGACATTGCTGCACATGCGATATCTCCAGAGGTAGTTTTCACACCTCAGTGGTTTATCACGGAGGGCGTGACTGTCGACTAGGGCTCGGAAAGACGTCGCCTTCTGGCTGTCCCCAGGTCGACTCCAGGAAGGGGTTCGAATTGGTCTGGTGGACCACCACATCAAGGTCTTCACGGACGCCTCACTGAGCGGTTGGGGGAGCAGGCTTGGCCACCACTCTGTAGAAGGCATCTGGTCCTCCCCTTTGGGGCACATCAACCTCCTGGAGTTGGAGGCGGTGCGGCTAGTGCTGGCCCATTTCGTGACTAAACTGGAGGGCCAACATGTGATTGTTTGGACAGACAACACCACTGTGGCAGCTTACCTGAACAGGCAGGGGGGGACCAGGTCCTCCGCCCTCCACAGGCTGGCAGTGGAAGTCCTTCTGTGGTTGGACATTCACCTAGCCTCTCTGAGAGCCTGCCACATTTCAGGCGAGCGCAACGTGGCCGCCGACAAGATGTCTAGGGGTGGGGCCTTGCGGGATGAGTGAGGTCTCGCTCCAGAGGTCGTGGCAGAGGTCTAGCTCCGGTTCGGGACACCGTTGGCCGACCTGTTCGCATGTGCAGAGAACATACAGTGCCCACTCTGGTTCTCGCTCAGGTCCAGCGACAAGCACCCTCTCGGGATGGACACCATTGCGCACCGGCCGTGGCCCAACCGTCTTCTCTAAGCCTTCCCGCCTCTCCGGCTCTTGGCGGCCCTGCTTTACAGGATGAGGATGGAGGGGGTCTCCATCCTGGTGTTGGCGCTGGACAGCCCGGGAGCCAGGTGGTATCCGGACCTGGTGAACATGGCGGACGGCCATGAGACAGGCAGGGGGAGGTCTTTACTCACGCCCTGTCCTTGGACGCAGGCTCATGGTTTGGAGGCTGAAAGGGCAGTCGCTAATATTCAGGGAGGGCGGGCTACTCCCACCACCAAAGCGTATGAGGTTTGCAGGAAACTTTTCGCCTCTTGGTGCGTTGACAGGGGCTTGGATCGCATATCATGTTCCATCCAGGAGTTCTTGACTTTTCTCCAGTCCTTGCTGCAGAGGGGCAGGGCGGCCGCCACTCTTGGTGTATTTGCGGCGGCCATTACCACTGGACATGTGGGGTTTGGCAGCCACTCTGCGCGTAGCCACCCTTTGGTGAAGTGCTTCCTCCGAGGGGCGCGCAGGATCAGGCCTCCGTCTTGGGACCTTCAGGTGGTCTTGTCTGGCCTTTCCCTTTTGAACCCTTGGATAAAGCGACCATTGCCTGTTTGTCTCACAAAACAGCATTGTTGTTGGCTTTGGCTTCGGCTAAGAGGTCTGGGGATCTGTGCGCCCTTTCCGTGCAGCCGTCTTGTTTGTCCCTCCCCAATCGGGAGGGCATGATGGAATTGTGGCCTAACCCGGCCTTCCAGCCCAAGGTTGTCACGTCATCTTTCAGATCTAGGGTGATCAGGGTGAGACCGTTTTTCCCTTTTCTGCTTCGGCAGAGGAAGAGCTGCGGTATAGTCTCTGCCTGGTCAGGGCAGTGAGATGCTATTTGGACCGCACGTCTGACCTCAAAAGGTTGGATCAGTTGTTTGTGGGGTTTGGCGCCAGGAGTCAGGGTGCCACTTTGTCTCCACAGTGCTTGGCCCATTGGCTTTACGCCGTTTGGCGTATGAAGCTCAGGGTTTGCCGCCTCTGGCCCAGTTGAGGGCTCACGCCACTCGCGGGCTTGCTGCTTCGGTGGCACCATTCCGTGGTACTTCGGTGGAGGAGATATGCAGGGCCGCGCCTTGGTCCTCCTCCTCGACCTTTGTGCAGTTTTGACTGGATGTCGCCTCTGACTCCGTTGCTCATTCGGTTTTGAGTGCAGGGCGGGCCTAGTTCCTCCTTTGACAGACCTTGGTGGGGACCGGTCTGCAGGAGGAGGATTGTTTGGAAAGGTTCGGGCACTCTTGGGAGAGGCGGCCTGGACACCTCTGCAGTGAGGATGGGTTGACAGGGGGTTTGGCGCTCTTGGGAGAGGTGGCCTAGGCCCTAGACCCTTCTGCAGTCTGCTTTACGTTCCTGGGATCAGGCGCGCTTGGGAGAGGCTGCCTGCCCAGGTTGGTTCTAAATAATCTTTCCTGCTTTGCAGGTTGGGGAATGCGCGGGCACTCTTGGGAGAGGTGGCCCTGCATCCCTTTTTTAATGGCTCGTAGGACCTCCGTCTCTACTGCTCGGTTGCTGTATGAGCACGTGGGTGTCGAGTTTGCTCCAATCACCAGAGTTCATGCCTGATATACACTACATTGGTCTGGGCTTCGCTATGTTATGCAATAGCGAAGCCTAAAGGGCTGAAGCAACATGTGAAATAGAAACCCCAGTTACCTAATGTAACTAAGGTTCTATGAATATGTTGCGAAGCCCTTTAGCATCGAGCCCAGCAGGCCTGCCCTCTCTTATTCGGATGAGTTCGAAAGGAGAAGAGCTGTGGTGCATGGCCCTATTTATAGGGGACTGACCTATGCCAGGACGTCAAGGTGGATCGTTTGATCTTCTCAGGGCGGGAAGCTGTGCTTCCGAGAGATATGCAATAATGAAGCCTAAAGGTCTTCTCAACATTCATAGAATCTTACTGGTAACCGGGGTGTATGTCCCATTCTGTCACAGGTCTCTCCGTGATTTTTGCAGATTGCACAGAGCACAGCAAATCAGCACCATTGACTTCACATGTTCAGTGTCCAAGTCATTCCTTTAAGACTGACGAAAGCATTTTCAACAACCACTTGCGCTGTGCTGAATTATATTAAATACTTGCAGTTTGTCTGTCATTCTGTGTCCTGTAAAGGTTTTAGGAACCAGTTTTGCGGGTGGTAAGCAGAGTCCCCTCGGAGGTAATAACCTGCTATCACCGATATTATAATAAATCCATGCACCGCACCAATGTTACTAGTTACGCATCGCGCCTAAATGACGTGGTCTGACAACGCGGAGGAGATACTAGGAGATTCTATTTTTGATGGAAAAGTACCCGAAAAGCGGCATAAGATCCTCAGAGCCTGGTCGTACCACACCGTAGTACAATGATGATTGAGCGGAGTGTACGGATGGCTAAGGCCAGGCTACCTCAAAGCTCGAGGGAGAGGGGTAAACTGCAAACTGGAGTTTAGCTTCACTTTTTATAAATTATGATGTTTGACGTTCTTCACTTTCATAAATCACACAAAGACACTTGTTTGCTTCGGTTCTTTAGAAATTCAGCCACAACAACACACCGCTCCAGATTGTAGTCACACAAACACACACTCATGCATGTGTGGACTGGGATGGCATGTGTGGTTTTGGTTTGCCGTGTGTTTTGTAATTATTTCATGCCTCCCAGCCGCCATGGTTACCCAGCACACGTGCCTGACCCGACTGATTGACAATCAGTACACCTGTGTCTGGGGGCAGTACAAAACAGGTCATGCAACGGGCAAGACGAGGGCAGAACGGGCGTGAGGAGAGGGAAATGGCGGCAGTCCGAGGAGGCACCTGACCCGGGGAAGAGTACCGTGACGCTGACTACACGCAGCGGCGTGCCTTTCAGTAACTCTAGTTTATGTAGCGGTGCTATGAGAGCATTTTGTGGGGTCCCTTGCTTGTGTGTTCGGCTGAGTGGTGCGCTCTCGTTTTCGTCCTTGTGCCCAGGGGCGGAGCTGGACTGCAAGCAGGAGACGGTGTCCGACTCGTGGAAGACGCAGCGGCAGGGTGGATACCTGCCGTGCGTTTAAGTCCCCGCCCGTTGTCCCTCGTAAATCATATTTGGAAATAATTATTCCTGCCGGTTTTTTTGTTTGTGTGTGCAGGTCCCAGGAGGACGGCCTCTCAGCGCCTTTTTAACTTTGTTTTTATTAAATTATTGTAATCAATTATTTCTTAAGAGTTTGCTCTGCCTTTTTTTGGTCACACCACTGCTCTGCCATAGCTGTCCCAATTCGGTCCACTACTCCATCATTCCCTCTTTTTGCCATAAATCAAAACCCCACCTGATTACAAGCACCTGAAACGATTGAACATGGTTTTAGTGGGAGCACCTGGAGGAAACCCACGCAGACCCTGTTAGAACATGCAAACTCCACATGGAGAGGCTCCGTCTGGAGGTGGATTCAAACCCTTTCATGTGAGAGTGAGACGGACAGAGCTCACCTGGTCCTGAGTCTGAGCTGGTGCGCCTCCTGTAGGAGGCTCTGGGCTCCTCCATCGTGACCTCTAGGCTCCTCTGCTCCTCCTCCTGGGACCTCTGGGCTCCTTTGCAGACGTGAGGACAGATCTCATCCTTAAGAGGAGGCGAGTGAGAGCCTCCTTCCTCTTTTGTGTCTGACTTGTTCCTCTTTGTTAAAAAAATAACAAAAAAACAACAGCAGAAGTTAAAAATAACTACAAATCATGTATCAGTCAGACTTTAGTTGACCCCAGAGTCCCTTTGAACTATAGAGGCATAAGTTTATTAATTACAGCTTACAAGGTGTTTTCTGCCATCCTGAATAACCGGCTCTGTGAATTTATAGAAGTGAATGAAATATTGGTGGATGAGCAGAATGGATTCAGGAAGAGACGAGCATGTATTGACCCCATTTATGCTTTATCCTCAGTAGTGAGAGCCAGCCTTTGACTGGATAAATCAAGATCTGTTGGAATTTAAGTTAATTAAGTTTGGTATTAATGGGGATTTCTATGAATCTATTAGAGCCCTGTACAAGACTCCCTTTGGTGTGAAACAAGGAGACGTTCTTTCTCCAACATTATTTGCTATTTATCTTCCGTGTGTGTGTGTGTGTTGTTTATTATTTAATTTAAAAAAAAAATTGAGTGTGCATTGATTGATTATCCAAGCATATTGATGGGAATTGGTGGTATGGTGTAAGTTACCCGAGATGAGAAAGGCAAAATAACAATGACAACAACAAAAAAAGAAGAAAATAACAGCAATAGCGACAATGGTGATGAGGATGAAGATAAAAATTACAACAGTACTAGCGTCCTTAACAGTAGCATTACTATTGGCACTCTTCCGACAGCATTCCTCAATAGTTTGTCTGTGATTGTGTGGTGCATTAAAAAGGCATATGCCTGAGACGCATGTGGGAAGAGAGTCCATATGTATTATTCATTATAGAATGTGTATTATTTAATATAAATATTATTATGTATTATTGTTGCTTCCTCACCATCACTGTTCCCTATTGCTTATTCTATATAATCAAATATGATATAACATGTATATATAAATACTAATGATATAATTTGTAATATTAACAGTTAAGCAGAAAATATACAAAAAGAAAGAAAAGAAAATAAAAGAAAATAAAGAAATAATAATAATAATAATAATCCTGTCAGGCTACGTATAAAGCAATAATAATAATAATAATAATAATAAGAAAGCGACATTAACATTATAATAAAATAAAAAGAGTATGTATAATAACAATAATAATAATAATAATAACAATGCAATTAGTTCATTTGTAAGAAAATGTATGAGTTTGTTGCATTTGCTGGGTGTTTCGGTATTTCTGTGATTGGTGGAAGCTTGTTCAAAGGAAAAGTGTTCTAGGAGGAGATCTTTCCACTGAGGAATGTTGACTTTGATTTTTGATTTCCAGTTGAGGAGTATTGTTTTTTTTGCAATTGTAAATTCTATTAGGATAAGTTTATGGTCTGTTGGGTCTATGGTTAGAGTGGACGTATCGCCGAGTAGGCAGTGTTCAGGGCTATGGGGGATGCAGTGGTCCATAATGGTAGAGAGGGTTTCTGTCACTTCTTTCCAGAATTGAAGAGCAGGGGGGCAGAGCCAAAAAGCATGTATGTGTGTGTCAGTTGAGTTTTGTGTGCAGTTGGTGCATTTGTCAGTACATGAGCTGAATTTCGACATTTTCTGTCCGGTGAGATGTGTTCTGTGTAATATTTTGTACTGTATGAGGTGAAGGTTTGCGTTGTCACACATGTTGTAGATGTTGTTACATATTTGGGTCCAGAAGCTGGCATCAGCGACAATTCCAAGGTCTTTTTCCCATTTTTCTGTTGGTAAAGCAACTGTATAATCTGAATGGGTGATGATTCTGTAGATGTTGGCCGTTAGTTTTTGCCGAGTCTTGATATTTAGTAATCTTGTAATCGGTGGGGGGAGAGTGAGATCTATATTTTTAGTGTCATACGATTTTTGGATGATTGATTTTTAGTGATGGTACTCGAGATATTGTGTGTCCCTGATGCCAAACTTCTGGACCAGGTGCGGGAATGAAACCAGTGTGTTGTCATGGAAAATGTGTTGTAGGTGTGTGATGCCTGTCTCTGCCCATGTTCGGAAGTGCAGTGGTTTCTTGTACTGTAAGAGGTCTACAATGTTCCAGATGGGGGTGAAGATGGATGGTGTGGGAGTGGTGTTAGTGATTCCAGGGTGACTCTTCTGGCCACCCTGGAAAAGCCATGTTCCAGCTTCTTCCCGCTGGCAGAAGATATCATTCTCTGAGATGCAGGACATCTCGTTACGCTAACAGCTTTTATCCACAAGCTGTTATCAGTGTGAACGGAGCACTTTAATGATTTGCACTTGCACTGAAACTGTTTTAGCCGATCGATTTCACAGTGACATTTGTTTACTGTTTTATTTTTTTTTATTTCTGTCTTTTAATGTTGTGTTATGTCTGTATTTGTCTGTGCACACTGGAGACTTTTTGCTAATGTATTCCAACGTGGTGTTTTTACTGCAAATGGCAAATAAACTGAATCTGAATTCAGATGCAGGTGCAAATTTGGTGCGCCAAGTCCTCCTTGTGATTTGGGTTTTTGTAATGTTGTGAGCTTTATTCTAGGAGTTTTGTTTTTCCAGTAAAAAAAAAGAGTTAAGGGATTGGAACCAGGATGATGTTGGGGCGATTGGGATCATGGAAAGAAGATAATTTATTTTGGGGAGAATTGACATTTTGCCAGTTGCTATTCGACCAATGAGGGATAGGGGTAGATTCATCCAGCGTTGGAGGTTGTCGGTGATTGATTTGAGGAGTGGAGTGTAGTTTAGATTAAACAGCTCTGACAGCCTGGGGGAGATCCTAATGCCAAGGTAAGTAAAATGTTTGGATATGAGAATGGGGGGGATGGACCACTGCATCCCAGCTGTCATGTTGTACAGGGAGTATGGTTGATTTGTGGAGGTTGATTGAATAGTCTGAGATATTTGAGAATTGTTGTATAAGTTTAATTGTTTCTGTTAGGGATGTGTAAGGGTGTTGCAAGTATAATAATATATCATCGGCATAAAGGCTAATTTCATGGTGTCCTGTGGGTGTATGAATTCCGGTGATTTTTGGGCTTTGGCGGATTGCTGCTGCTAGTGGTTCAATAAATATTGTGAAAAGTAATGGAGAGAGTGGACATCCTTGCCTGGTTCCTTTACGGAGAGTGAATGGTTGTGAGATTATTCCATTTCTTTTTACTGTAGCTGTGGCTGAGGTGTGTAGAATTTGTATCCAGTTTATAAAGGACTCTCCAAAGCCAAATTTTCGAAATGTTGATATTAGAAAAGACCCGTCTACTCTGTCAAACGCTTTTTCTGCATCCAGGGAGATTATTGTGGTTGGATTTTTTTTTTGTGTTTGAGTTTTGCATTAAGTTGAATAGTCTGCGAGCGTTATTGGATGAGTGTCTATTTTTGATAAATCCTGTTTGGTCAGGGTGAATGGTGGTGGGAATTACTTTTTCAATTCTATGGGATAGTACTTTTGTGATGATTTTCAGGTCTACATTGATAAGGGAGATGGGACGGTAGTTTGATGGTTGGTTGAGGTCCTTGTTAGGTTTTGGGATAAGTGATATTGTAGCCTTATTCATGTGTGTGGGTAGTTGTGATGTTTCTTTTATTTCAGCAATGAGTCTAAGGCAGTGGTTCTCAAACTTTTCACACCAAGTACCCCCTCAGAAAAAACTTGCCTCTCCAAGTACCACCACAAATGACCAACACTATACAGTAGCGTAGTAAGTAAGTATTCATCAAAAACAAGGCAGGGGTTTAATTCCTAAAGAAGTATATTTAATATAACATTTTACACAGTTTCAACAGTAAGATAAAAAAAACTGTACTTAAATAATGATTCAATTAAAATGTTCAATTCATTGTGAACTGCAAAGCCTCACTGTGAGTGATAATCTGGATCTTTGTCCACAGAAGGTTTGGACACTGGTGCACTTTAGTTTGGTCTGCTGCCCTCTTACATCTGTCGTTTACTCACACAAAGACATGTTCATATGGTTTGGATCAAATGATCTTTTGTTGCTCACTGTTCTGTGCTTTTGTACATGCTGCTCCTTCTACATCGAACGTGTTGCAAAAAGACTGGAAATTATCTGAATTTATTTCCTTGAATGCTTTTAGATCCAGATTGAGAGACTGAGACGTCCTCATTGAAATGTAACTGTTTTTATAATCCGTAATTTTATGAAATTGTGTGTTACTGTTGTATAATCTGTATGTGACTGTTTTATAATCTGTAATTTTATGTATTTTTTGTCCACGACTCCATTAAAAAAGAGGTTCTCATTGACTGCCAGCCATTGTTGATGACTTCACTGATTTTCAAGACTCACAGAATATTATGTGCTATGACTATGAATAATATGAACCCAGATTCTGAAAGACTGGACTGTCTACTTTCAGCAGCAAAAATAGGTTTGTTTTTAGCTTGTTTCGTTCTCCTGTGATCTCCAGTTGAAAAGAGGGGAGTGTGAAAAAAAGCACCAGTCTTAGACAAAAAGTTGAGAAAATGAAAACCTGCAGAAAAAGGACTGTAACACTATTTAATTTATATTTAGCATCTTCTCAAACATGTCCAGGATCTTACATGTTAGAAAACAGCAACAATATTCATGTCAATAAGAGTAAATCAGAGATGAGCAAAATAATAATGATAAACACTATAAATGACAATAAATCAAAGTGAACACACAATATACTGTACAGAGTCCTCTATACTTACTATGGTTGATTTTTCTTTATTTTGTTTTATTTAATTGGCTAGGTATTTCGATTTATTATTGTGATGAACATTTTCTTGCCGGAGTCTCTGTATCATAAATTGAGATTTTTTATTGGTGATGTTAATCAGTTTGTAGTTATGATGTCTTAATTCATCTTGTGTTTTTCTGATTTTATTATATATGTTGATGATATTGTTTTGATAGCAGAGGAAGAAACAAAAACTGCAA